ATGTTGCTGTTTGAGCATAAACAATATCTGCAAAGTTACAAAGCTGAAAGTTCAATGCAAACGGAGATATCGTCTTTTAAAATTATGGCAGTTTAATGCCTACAAAAACGGCTGGTAAGGACTCCGCCCTCGGGAAAAGGCAGCAAAGGGGGCGAGGCCATGCAGCACTGCTTTAGAGGAGAGGAAGAGAAAACTCATAAAAGAAGGAAATGATCAGCCCATTTCTCAGAGAAGGGACAGAGAGGTGTGGAATAAAGGTAAATTATGTGAAAAATAATGCGTTTTTAAAAAAACAAAGCGTTAACACATGTTAGACTGCACCCCATAAACACAATCAAGCCTAGAAAAAAAACCCAGTGAACCACCCCTTTAATTGTGTACACAGGCTATTAAATTAACTGATATCATCAGTTGAATTAGATGGCTGAGATTCTATATTTTATAGCATAATACATCTTTAATTCATAGCACTGTTCCTGTAACAACAGAACAGGAGTTAAATTCAACTTTCATGAAGAACAATTTATTCTCTTGCAGGTATATTTGCTGACAGCATTGAACCAAAAGACAAGGACAATATAATCAGTAAAGAAGGAGAGTCTGTGACACTGAGTTGCACTTATGATACAAGCAGCAACAATATTTTGCTGTACAGACAGTATCCAAACAGAATACCCCAGTTTATTCTATTGAAAGGTGCTCAATCACGGGGTGCTAGTGAGGACAGGGCCCTTTCCTTGAAGAGTGCCTCAACACCTTGCACACTATAAATCTAACACACCCATTATCAATTTTATTTGTAGCTGTGTTGCTTACATCATACCAATGTTTTTACCCTTCTACGATTTTAACTGGAACAGCAGCAAACCCACAAGAGTGGTCAGGTGTTAATTTGCACTTTAACATTCAAAGTCAGTACTAAGTGGCCTACTTAGTGTGGTGTACTGAAAAGTAGCTAAATAAACCAGCAGACAATGCATTTACCGAACAGAATTTTATTTTAACAATAAATTATAATACACAGCAGCAAGCCAACTGTACATAAAAAAACAACAACTCTTAATCTATAACTAGCTAATTGAGGCGTAATGATATTGGAATATAATAGCAAAGACCCCAAAGGTAGGCTAAGGTAAATAATGTTATAAGGTTATAAGTACCAAGGTTATGAAAGAATTGTTTTATTACAAAAATATATACCCAGGAAAGTTATTTTTACACAGAGAAAAACTTCAACCTAAAACTAGCTAAGTAAAATGTTATAATATCAGGGTTGCCAACATTGGTTGCCTGGCTGGAGTGATGTAGGGTATCAGACCGAATCAGACAATTTAAGATTTGATCAAGAACATAGTTGAAACACGAGGAGCCACATTCCACAGAGGCCCAAGACACAGGATGTTCGTAAATCAGATCCTGGCGCCACAAGCCTGAAACTAATGAATAGTTTATAGGATTATATTCATGTTGGGTATGTATGAGTTTGAAAATTCATGCTTTAAACGTTTCTATCAATCAATACTTTGTAAAATATATTATATTCTTGTTATAGAAATCATGTTCAGATTATACTCTGCAAGAGCGGGAAAATTCGGACCATATGACTGATAAGATAACGTGCGATTTATATATTGGGAGGAGAAACATCGCAACACCCCGAGCTAAGACAGTGTCTAATTGGTCAAAACACCATTTGGGATGTGGCCAACAGCCCAGTTTAAATACTCAGGACACCATCAAATCAACCCCTTTTACCTTTTACCCTTTTTAGTCATGTCTTTTCCCCTTCCTAGCTTTTAGCTTTATGCTTTTTAGTCATGCTTTTTTAGCTTTCTGAGCGTGCTCTGGCTTACACGCCAGCTCCTCCAAAACCATGAGGAGAAACGCCAAGTCTCTGTCCAAATTCCCTTTAAAATCTTAAATGATTCCCTTTGAGCTAAATTGACCTGTTTCCCTTACAGTGAGATACATGAATATATATATATATATATATAAATTACACACTGCCCTTTACCCACTGTTCGTCTATAGTGTACACTTTTTAAACACTTAAAATATTTTAAAGCCTATATTATTTTTTAACTCTACAGTTGTGCAGTAAAATTCATTTGAAAGATTCTCGAAGATGAAAAAATTGCCAAAAATGTGTCTCCTTGTGAAAAACAAAGACTTTTAAGATGAAAATGACATGAAATTACCAATATAACCAGTAGATGGCAGCAGAGGATCATTCATCAGCTCAGTTGCCATTTCCACTCCCTAGTGTTTGTCACATCTTGCTTTTGGATTTATAAAAAAATTACTATTATACCGAATTTTTGTACTTTTACAGAACTGAAGTATAAATAAGTTAATTATTAATGGTATTAATGGTAATTAAATAATAAGTATTTATTTTAAAATAAAAGTATTTCATCTTTAACTGTAGAAGCTGCTAAATTTATTCAGCCAACACAGACTTGTCTCTGCTGTAGTTTTCTTACTCTGAATTTACTCTGCATTAATGCACAGGGCTATTTTGACATTGGCTTGTCAGATAGTTCATTCCGTCCATTGCTACAATATTTATCACTGTCAATCATAGCAATGACTAGCGGAACAATTTAGCTGATTCACTCGCGTCATTTTTTTCCCACTCACGTTTGTCATTCCTGAAACAGTATGCGTGAACAAACATAACTTTTCTTCAAATTTTAAATGGATTATGTGAGAAACCTTTTTTTCTTGTTATAATGGGAAGATTTGCAAGCGCGTAGAACTCCGTAAACTTGTGAAAACAATACGTTCAGAGCGGATGCTGACTAACCTACAGTAAACACCTCTGATCTGATTCTGATCTGACTTGGGCATGACGCATCGCTATGGAAATAATAAGATGATACGTATTAGATAAATTATGTAATATTGTGTTTTTGTATAATTACCATTGTCCATTGACACAATATATCACAAAAAAAAAAAAAATCAAGCTGTCATTTCCTGTACCCTCGGGGGCCCCCTGGTGGCCACGAGGGTCCTAAGCAGCTGCTTAGTTCGCTTATGCCTTGCCTCTGCATGAAACTTAAATAATACAGACAGTGCAAATTTAGCAAAAACACATCATATCCCTGCTAAGTATGTTTGTCATCTGCCACTAGGGGGTGAAGTTATAAAAAAGAATACATGCATGTAGTTTGAACTGAATGAATGACTATTTACTTTTATGCTATATATATATATTTTTTTTTTTACTACACACAACATATACAAGGTCAAATAGTCAAAGATATCGTTGACACAAAGAGACAATAACTCTGAGCTACATGTAATACATCAAGTACAACAGATCAAGAGGAAATCCTGTTACTGACAGTTATCTCAAGTTTAATGTGGTACGACAGAAGGTGGTCTAAACATCAGAAACCACACCCACATTTACAGACATTATAGCTGCACAAATGACTTTCCATTACATACATTTACCTTTCAACTTAAAATCATTAAGCATATATTTATTGGCTTATTTTATTAGCAAATTTCTCACCATGGAAAGATGTATTCTACTTCTTATTCTTATAACAATTCCAGGTAAAGTGCAGTTCAAATATCAGCACTGAACTAAAATATATTGTGGATTCAAAGTGTTTATTACATGCATATTTAATTTATAGATGTTAAATAAGAATTCTGACATCAAATATTGTTATTTTTTATGTTGGTCATTCATAGCACTGTATATGTAACAACAGAAAGGGCAGGGGTTTAATTCAGTTTTTATTAAACATAATTAATTCTCTTGCAGGTATATTTGCTGATAGCATTGAACCAAAAGACAGAGATAATATAATCAGGAAAGAAGGAGAGTCTGTGACACTGAGCTGCACTTATGATACAAGCAGCACTTATGCTATGCTTTGCTGGTACAGACAGTATCCAAATAGATAACTCCAGTATTTATGTGTAAAGGTGCTCGATCATGGAGCTACAGTGAGGATATACCAGATGGTCGCTTTCAGTCGATTACATCACAAACATCCACTGAAATCATTATTACCAGTGTAACTCTGTCAGATTCAGCTCTCTATTATTGTGCTCTAAGAGTAGCAGCCCAGTGATACAAAATGCCTGAGACTCTTTACAAAAACTCACATACACAATAATTGCTTTGAACAGTATTTAATCAATTAAAACTCAAACCACAGTTGTTCTTTATGTGAGCCACGAAGTCTCTGTGAATAACAGGATACGGTAACACCTGCGAAAACTTATCTGAAACGAATACAATATAGTATAATGGCTTCATTTGGTAAGTATACTGCTATGAAAAAGTGACTGATGGTCTTTCATAAATGATAAATTGCCCATTTATTTGACTGACATTTTCTGTTAAACTGAGTAAGACGTAGTAACATTTTACATCAGACACATTTAGCACTTTTTCAAACATTACTTCATTATCCCAAACTAGGTGTTGTTTGAAGAAGGAGACAGCTTAAACTTATAAATAAAAATAAAAAAACATATCACACACTAAACAACATCCTGAAAATGATGCTTTTTGTTTTGATTTTACTTTGTTCTCTAATATATAAGTATATTCTGTCCCAAAGTGTCAGGATTTTATCATTTTTGTTTGCTGTCCTGTTATTTCATATGCATATTTATTTATTTAAATATTAATTTCAACTAGAATAATATTCCTATCTGCAGGTGTCAGTTTTGGGAATGTCATCACACCAGTCCAAACTGACGTGTTTGGGACAGAGGGGGACAATATGACTCAGGAAACAGGAATCATACTGTGCAAAAACACATCCTATCCCTGCATGTTCATGAGTACAATGAACATTTGAGAAATGACATTACTTTGAAAAATAACAAATGCAAGCAGATTTAGGTATCGATCATGTGCTTTATAAGATGGTTATGTCAAAAGGCGGAGCTTAACACAGGCCTGTGAAACAGATTAGTTCAGTGATAATCAGCATCACAGATCACTGATGCAAGCAGCAACTACCATCATGTTCACTTGTGTGCTTATACTGCTGACTTTAACTCAAGGTAAATTCTTACATGAATCATTATCATTGCATGACAATATCTCATTTTAAACATGCTTAAATAAGCTTTTGTTGCAGGTAACAGAGCTAAAGATGTCATCACCCCATACAGTGATGCAGCATTTGACACTGAGACTGAGACTGTGAAACTCTCTTGTAACTACACTGGTTCTGTTGAGAGTCTTCACTGGTATCGACAATATGCAGGTTCACCACAGTTCCTCATCCTGGATCATTCAGGATATGTTATTGAAGCTAATCCTCCAATTTCTGGAATATCCATCAGTCACAGAAAAGAAGATAACAGTGTGGATCTGATAATCTCTTCTGCTGCTGTATCAGACTCTGCTCTGTATTACTGTGCTTTGAAGCCCACAGTCACAGGAAACACTCAACACACCGTACAAGAACCTGACTGACTCTATAGTCATAAAGTGAGACGTTAGAACAACAAATAGTATCCACATGCTACATTCAAATTCATATTTAACTATACATTTTCAAACTGGTTAGTATTTCTTACGTACATATATTGATTTAGTAAATACTCATTATTGAATGAGACCAATGATGGAATATCACTATAACTATTATAGAATTATTTGAAAACATATTAATTAAATAAAATCAACATTTATAATCCTTTATATTTTTCAGATTCACTCATGTTTTATCTTTGTTAGACTCATGGATGTAGTCAATGGGAGAATAAAGGGTTGTCACAGCACCACTGGGGGGTGCTGTGTACATTAAAACATTTCAGAGAGGATGCCTAACTATATCAGAAATGAATTCACATGTGCAAGGAACAACAGAAGATGGTTCCTATTACCCTCTACATTTTGTGTAATTTGGTGAAACTGTGCTTAAATGTTGTGAAAATGAATAATGCCAAAAAAGCAGGCTCAGACATGTTTCCCATAAGATTGTTAAATTTACTGAATCAATCATTTTGTAACAGATTTCAAAGGACCTAAACGCTTTGTTTTTTCCTCATAAAATGCACTTGATCAATAATGTATATAGATATCAATCAACACACCAAATATAATGCTACAAGCACAAATGAAAAAAAATGAAAAATGAATATTCTAACTCACAAATAGCTTCTATTCTGTTTAGCTTTGAATGATCCTTATAGTAACATAATGAACATAATCAAAGTTACACTTGCTGATAAAATTGAATTAGCATAGGAAGAGACTTATTCAACAAGAAGTATAGTTAATTTTAAGATATTTATATACTGACTTAAGGCACAATCTTAACATCTCAATTTTTAGGAAAGGAAAGACAGAGAAGGTGGTCTAAATAAACCACACCCACACTATGGCTTCATAATAGGCTACAATCATACATTTACCTTGAAACTTCAGTTCAGTAGCAAGCTAGTAAACCTTCCCAATATGGAGAGATGCTTTCTACTGATTCTCATTACAGCAACAGGTATAAAACGTTTAATCTGAGCAGACTCAAATATAATTTATATAAAAATGTTTGTCCATGCTAACATTTTTTAATGGTACTCTACAATAATGGCATCACATTTGTTGAAGAAACTGTTTGCTAGTGTAATTTTTATTCATACATGTTATGCGTTTTTGGATACGTGGAGAATCTAGCTGACCTGTTCAATTTGTCCAATTGTCTTGCAGGTGTTTTATCTGACAGCATTCAACCAAAAGACAAAGAAACTACTATTTACAGAACAGAAGAAGAGCGTGTAACGCTGAGCTGTTCATATGATACCAGCAGCAATTATGTCTATCTCTACTGGTACAGACAGTATCCCAACAGAGAACCAGAATATTTACTGTATAAAGGTGCCCGATCACAGAGCAGCTATGAGGATATACCAGATCGGTTTCAGTCAGCTACATCCCAAACATCCACTGAACTCTCTATTAAGAGTGTAACTCTGTCAGATTCAGCTCTCTATTATTGTGCTCTAAGAGTAGCAGCCCAGTGATACAAAATGCTTAAGAAGCTTTACAAAAACTCACATGTAGATTTTTTGCCTTTAAAAAAAATAGATCAAATAAGAATTAAACCACAGTTATATCTTCTGCAAGCCACAACACTTCTTTCACAAACACAATATTGTAACACCTGCTGGAAGAAAATAACTGTGGTTAGGAGGAAAGTATAAAAGATTACAATTTCAATACTTTTTTTGGCATGCCCTAATAAACATTCCCACAAAAGAGCCTCTGAAAATAAAGTTTTCCATGCTAAAATCACTAATTGACAGAGTGTGAATAAAAGGTATCTTATAATTAAACTGCGTTTCATTTTTTTTAAAGGAATAGTTTACCCAAAAATTAAAATTTGTTGAAAATGTACTCTCCCTCATGCTATCCATGATGAGTTTGGTTCTTCATCGGAACGGATTTGGAGAAATGCAGCATTACATCACTTGCTCACTAATTGATCTGCAGCGAATGGGTGCCATCAGAATGAGAGTCCAAACAGATGATAAAAAACATCACAATAATCCACAAATAATCCACACAACTCCAGTCCATCAATTAACATCACGTGAGGCCAAAAGCTGTGCATTTCTAATAGCCAGATTTATCATTAAGAGGTTTTAACTTCAAACCGTTGCTTCAATCTAAAATATGAGTCCTCTATGCATAATATTGTTTATTATGTAAATTATATAAACAATACTTCTGCTGTTTCAATGACAGTTTAAGGGGAGGAGTTTGCTTGACACATCATCTGTGACAAGGAAAGAACAGAAAGTTTAGTTGAAGAACATCTTGTGCTGAACTAGAACTTCATCCTGATTATGATCAACATGTTACTCTGCTTAACTGGTTTGATTTGTTCTCTTATATGTAAGTATTCAATTTATTTGGCGTTTTTTTTTTAATAATTTTGTCTAGTTGAGATTAGTAAGTGTGGTGTTTGTGTTAGTTCATTTTTATGTACATTGCATTTCTATAAATTGGGTCTTTGACTCTTGATTTTGAAGGTGTCAGTTTCTTCGTAAAAGTCATGTAATCCAATATAGAGTAAACCTGGGAAAATATTTCTGAAATTTCTGTTGTGACAACAAAAGTTAACAATTATCATATACTGTTTTGTTGGAGCATTTTTGCACATTTTTGGTCTCTATTATGAATGCATCAGTTTTGTGATACATGCATATGTTTGTCATCAGCCACAAGGGGGTGAAGTTACAACAGAAACAATACATTCAGTCTGAACTGAGTAAATGGTTTAACTTTCAAAGCAAGCACTCATGGTATTTTCCCTACACACAGAGTGCAGAATAATCAAAGATGATCCCGGATCAGCTCCTGAATTTCTTTTGATAATACTACATGCTACAGGAAAAGTTTCACAAAAGTCAGAAATTGTGGACCGAGATCCTCGATTCTTTGGGAAAGTGAATGGAGAGAAAACCCATGTGATTCTAGAGATCTCCTCCACTAAACTGACAGATGCTGCTCTGTACTACTGCGCACTGACGCCCACAGTGACAGGAAACACAAGAACTCTGTACAAAAACCCTCCCAACAGCGATACTATAGATGAATGTATGTATTACAGATTTGCAGTGACACAATTATACATCATCTATTAAGAAATTATAATTCTGATGTGGAATTACACAGAGAGTTTTGCATTCAAAATACAGATGTACACTATTGATTAAAATGCAATGTTAATGTTGCATTCATGATTGTTAAAATGAAATGTTTTAAAATGGCTAGTGATTGAACATCACACTTTATTCATGCTCTTCATTCATAGTCTTCGTAAAAGTCATGTAATCCAATATAGAGTAAACCTGGGAAAATATTTCTGAAATTTCTGTTGTGACAACAAAAGTTAACAATTATCATATACTGTTTTGTTGGAGCATTTTTGCACATTTTTGGTCTCTATTATGAATGCATCAGTTTTGTGATACATGCATATGTTTGTCATCAGCCACAAGGGGGTGAAGTTACAACAGAAACAATACATTCAGTCTGAACTGAGTAAATGGTGTTTAACTTTCAAAGCAAGCACTCATGGTATTTTCCCTATTACATCATGTGTAGCCAAGTATGGTACAGTGACCATGACAACACTGCACAAAAACTAAGATAGATCACACATTGCATCACTGTCAAGCACCTACTATAACATTCAGAGGTGTCTTTCATATCATCTTCAAATATGACTGCAAACATGATACAATTATGTGTTTAGACTTAAATTGCCAATTAACATTAGTCCTGCAAACCAAATACAGATTTGTATTGAAGGTGTTTTATCAGACATAAAGTGGAGGTAAATTAAAGACTCTCTTGAGGCGTGTCATAAGCTTTAATTTGTGTATTACTTGAAACAGAAAGTCATTTTAATCAGCTCTTCAACAATACTTCTGCCGTTTCAATGACAGTTTAAGGGGAGGAGTTTGCTTGACACATCATCTGTGACAAGGAAAGAACAGAAAGTTTAGTTGAAGAACATCTTGTGCTGAACTAGAACTTCATCCTGATTATGATCAACATGTTACTCTGCTTAACTGGTTTGATTTGTTCTCTTGTATGTAAGTATTAATTTTATTTGGCTTTTCTATAATTTTGTCTAGTTGAGATTAGTAAGTGTGGTGTTTGTGTTAGTTCATTTTTATGTACATTGCATTTCTATAAATTGGGTCTTTGACTCTTGATTTTGAAGGTGTCAGTTTCGCGAATGTCATCACGCCAGTCCAGACTGAGGTTTCTAAGAAAGAGGGAGAAAATGTTACTCTGTCCTGTAGCTACTCCTCAGCATCCACACTGCAGTGGTATCGCCAGTATCCCGGATCAGCTCCTGAATTTCTTTTGATAATACTACATGCTACAGGAAAAGTTTCACAAAAGTCAGAAATTGTGGACCGAGATCCTCGATTCTTTGGGAAAGTGAATGGAGAGAAAACCCATGTGATTCTAGAGATCTCCTCCACTAAACTGACAGATGCTGCTCTGTACTACTGCGCACTGACGCCCACAGTGACAGGAAACACAAGAACTCTGTACAAAAACCCTCCCAACAGCGATACTATAGATGAATGTATCTATTACAGATTTGCAGTGACACAATTATACATCATCTATTAAGAAATTATAATTCTGATGTGGAATTACACAGAGAGTTTTGCATTCAAAATACAGATGTACACTATTGATTAAAATGCAATGTTAATGTTGCATTCATGATTGTTAAAATGAAATGTTTTAAAATAGCTAGTGATTGAACATCACACTTTATTCATGCTCTTCATTCATAGTCTTCGTAAAAGTCATGTAATCCAATATAGAGTAAACCTGGGAAAATATTTCTGAAATTTCTGTTGTGACAACAAAAGTTAACAATTATCATATACTGTTTTGTTGGAGCATTTTTGCACATTTTTGGTCTCTATTATGAATGCATCAGTTTTGTGATACATGCATATGTTTGTCATAAGGGGGTAGGGGGTGAAGTTACAACAGAAACAATACATTCAGTCTGAACTGAGTAAATGGTTTAACTCAAGCACTCAAGAGTGCAGAATAATCAAAGATGTAAAACACACAAAGAGACAGTAACACTGAGCTTTATAAAACAGATCAAGAGGAAATCCTGTTAACTGACAGTTATCTCAGGTTTAATGTGGAAAGACAGAAGGTGGTCTAAACATCAGAAACCACACCCACATTTACAGACATTATAGCTGCACAAATTATTTTCCATTACATTCATACATTTACCTTTAACTTAATATCATCAAGCATATGTTGATAGGCCTTGTTTACAAGTAAATTTCTCACCATGGAGAGATGCACTCTACTGATTCTCATAACAGTATCAGGTAAAGTAAATTAGCACTGCACTAAAACAGATTGAGGATTCAAAGTCTTAATTATGTAGATATAAATTAGAAAGCTAACATCATATATTGTTACAAAGGAGTATAATTCAACTTTCATGAAATATCATTCATTCTCTTGCAGGTGTATTTGCTGACAGCATCGAGCCAAAAGAAAAGGAAGAAATAATCAGGAGAGAAGGAGAGTCTGTGACACTGAGCTGCTCATATGATACAAGCAGCACTTATGCTATGCTTTACTGGTACAGACAGTATCCACATAGAGAACCCCAGTTTTTATTGCGTAAAGGTGCTCGATCATGGAGTGGCGAGGATATACCAGACCGTCGGTTTCAGACGACTACATCCCAATCATCTACTGAACTCACTATTACCAGTTTAACTATGTCAGATTCAGCTCTCTATTATTGTGCTCTAAGAGTTGGAGCCCAGTGATACAAAATGCCTGAGAGGCTTTACAAAAACACACACACAAAATAACTGCTTTGAAATGTATTTGATCAACTAAAAATCAAACCACAGCTGTACTTTATGTGAGCCACAAAGTCTCTATGAATAACAGGATATGCAACATCTGCTAAAACGTAACTGAGATAAATACAAATAAGCATGAAGTTTTCATTCAGCAATTGTTACTATGAAAAAGTGACTGTTGTGCTCATGCGATTCATAACTCCTCATTCATTTGGCTGGCTTTGCCGTAACTGAGATAAATACAAATAAGCATGAAGTTTTCATTCAGCAGTTGTTACTATGAAAAAGTGACTGTTGTGCTCATGCGATTCATAACTCCTCATTCATTTGGCTGGCTTTGCCTGTCAATGTGAGTCAGATTTTTCTAGAGCCACTTTTGTATCTAAACTATAGTATTGTTTGAAGAATGTTTGCTTACATAGTAAATATTATAAAAACATAAATATCACTCTTACAGCAGATTATGATCTGAACATAAAATCTGTATCTTTAAGGGGAGGTGCTAGCTGGAGACATGCCCTCCTAGACAATGAAAAAATGTTTACTTCGGTAACACTCTGTTCTGCAGATAAACTAAAACAACATCCTAATTATGCTTTTTGTTTTGGTTTCATTCTATCCAAAAGTGTCATTGTCTTCTTTGCTGTTCTGCTGTGGCATGTGATATTTTCATTTAAATGGTTTAAATTTGAATCCTATCTGCAGGTGTGAGTTTTGGGAATGTCATCACACAAGTCCAAACTGAGGTGTTTGGGACAGAGGGGGACACGATAACGCTGTCCTGTAGCTAGTCCTCAGCGATTAGTCTGCAGTGGTGTCACCAGTATCCTGGATCAGCTCCTGATACATTTTAGTCATATTTCATGCTACAAGGAAAGTTTCACAAAAGTCCAAAATGTACATCTAGATCCTTGATTCTAGAAAACCAAATGAAAAGAAAACCCATGTGATTCTGGAGATCTCCTCTGCTAAAGTAACAGATGGAGCCCAAAGTGACAAGAAACTGAATAATACTATGCAAAAACACATCATATCCTTGTTAAGTAGGCTACATTGAACATTTGAGAAATTATATTACTTTGAAAAATAACAAGTGCTTTATAAGATGGTTATGTCAAAAGGCAGAGCTTAACACAGGCCTACTCCCATAGCAATATGGTAGAGTTGGTACTTAGTGCTCGCCATGGTTCCGGCTTGCACTCCCCTCAGCATGGCGGCGTGGGTATACCGTTCCCCATAGCGACCCCTAGAGGACGCAGTTCAAAGTTCCCATGAAAGGGAACGTCTCAGGTTACTTATGTAACCATGGTTCCCTGAGTAGGGAACGAGACACTGCGTCCTCTAGGTTGCTTGCCATGCTGCGGACGCAAGCTTCAGACGAAGAAGCGAATGATGTGTGCTCTATTATTTATACTATAGTCGCACTGGTAGTGACGTCATGGCTGTCGCCGGCCAACAAGTTGGTGTTTTTTCAATGTATGCTTCAGACACGGGTCACGACGAGGCGTTCCCCATAGCGACCCCTAGAGGACGCAGTGTCTCGTTCCCTACTCAGGGAACCATGGTTACATAAGTAACCTGAGACGTTTTGTTGTAGGTAACAGAGCTAAAGATGTCATCACCCCATACAGTGATGCAGCATTTGCCACTGAGACTGAGACTGTGAAACTCTCTTGTAACTACACTGGTTCTGTCGAGAGTCTTCACTGGTATCGGCAATATGCAGGTTCACCACAGTTCCTCATCCTGGATTCCTATGGATCAATTACGCAAGCTAATCCTCCAGTTTCTGGAATATCCATCAGTCCCAGAAAAGAAGATAACAGTGTGGATCTGATCATCTCCTCTGCTGCTGTATCAGACTCTGCTCTGTATTACTGTGCTTTGAAGCCCACAGTGACAGGAAACACTCAACACACCGTACAAGAACCTGACTGACTCTATAGTCATAAAATGAGATGTCAGAACAACAAACAGCATCCACACAGATTAACGTTACATTCAAATTCATATTTAACAATACATCTTCCAGCTGGTTAGTATTTCTACTGCATAGTATTTCTTATTTATTTAGTACATTCTCATTATTGAATGAGATCATTGATGGAATATCACTATAGGACTATTATATAACTATTCGAAAGCATGTCAGTAAGTAAAGTCAACATTAATCATCCTTTATATTTTTCAGATTCCCAAATGTTTTATCCTTGTTAGACTCATGTATGTTGTAAATGGGAGAATAAATGTTTGTCACACCACCACTGGGGGGTGCTGTGTACGTTAAAACATTTCAGAGAGGTCACCTACTGTAACTGTATCAGAAACTAATTCACCTGTGCAAGGAACAACAGAAGACGGTTCCTATTGCTCTCTACATTTGTGTAATTTGGTGAAATTGTTCTTAAATGTCATGAAAATGAATAATGCCACATTGCTAAAAATCTTAATGGTCAAAAAAGAGGCTTCAAGTAAAAAATAAAAAAATTAATCCTTGGGTAAAACATGACTCAGAGGATTGTGAAATCTACTGAATCAATCATTTTGTGACAGATTTCAAATGGCCTAAATGGTTTGTTTTTCCTCACAAAATGTACTTGATCGATAATGTATATAGATATCAATCAATACACCATAACAAAATGTGTCGACTGCAAATATAATGCAATAGACACAAACCACACCCACATTGCAGTTGCACAATAGGCCACTACACACATAAACCATAAATTCAGTTTACAAAGACAGTTAGTAAACCTTCCCAACATGGAGAGATGCTTTCTACTGATTCTAATAACAGCAACAGGTATAAAACATTTAATCTGAGCAGACTCAAACATACTGTATATTGAAATGAATTAGTCATGCTCATATTTTTACTCTATTACAACAACATTATTTGTTTAAGAAACTGTTTTGCTATTGTAATTTTCATTTACAAATGTTATGTATTTTTGGATAAGTGGAAAAGCCAGCTGACCTGTTGTGAAATCTGTCCAATTCTCTTGCAGGTGTATTATCTGACAGCATTCAACCAAAGGAAACTAATATTTATAGAAAAGAAGTTGAGCGTGTAACACTGAGTTGCTTGTATGATACAAGCAGTGATTATGTCGAGCTGTATTGGTACAGACAGTCTCTTAATAGAGAACCAGAATTTTTACTGCGTAAAGGTGCCCGATCATGGAGCAGATATGAATATATACCAGACACTCGGTTTCAGTCGACTACATCAGATACATCCACTGAACTCATTATTAAGAGTGTAACTCTGTCAGATTCAGCTCTCTATTATTGTGCTCTAAGAGTAGCAGCCCAGTGAAATAAAATGCCTGGGAAGCTTTACAAAAACTCACATGTAGTTTTTGCCTTAAAAAAAAAGAATCAAATGAAAATGAAACCACAATCATATCTTGTGTAAAACCACAACAACTTTTTTCACAAACACAATATTGTAACACCTGCTGGAAAAAAAAAAACTGCTTCGGAGGAAACTGCAAAATAAGATTAATTTCAATAAATGCTGTTGTCATCCCACAATAAACCTTCCCTCAAAAGAGCCTCTTAAAATAAAATGTTCTATGCACAAATCACCACTTGCGAGAGTAAATAAGTGTATCTTACAATTAAACTGTGTGTTTCATTTTTTTAAAGGAACAGTTTACCCAACATTTTCTAAAAATGTATTCATTCTCATGCTTATCCATGATGAGTTTGGAACGGATTTGGTGAAATTTAGCATTACGTCACTTGCTCACTAATAGATCCTTTGCAGTGAATGGGTGCCATCAGAATGAGAGTCCAAACAGATCATAAAAACATCACAATAATCCACAAGACTCCAGTCCATAAATTAGCATCATGTGAGGCCAAAAGCTGTGCATTTCTAATAGCCAGCTTTATTATTAAGAGGCTTTAACTTCAAACCGTTGCGTCAATCTACAATATGAGTCCTCTATGCATAATATTGCTTTCTCCAGTAAAAAAGTCATCTCGTCTGAATCAGGAGATAAATATGCACACAATTTAACAGTTTACAAGCAAAAACAGTTCGAAACAGTGAATATAATGTATATAATGTATATAATATAATTGTGTCCAGAAGCGATGGTTTCAAGTTAAAATGCCTTAATGATGGACTTCTTACAAACACCTTCACAAGACATTAACGGATGGACTGGAGTCGTGTGGATTATTGTGATGTTTTTATCAGCTGTTTGGACTCAAAAATTTCTACAAATCTGTTCCAATGAAGAAATAAACTTTGGGTGAGGGTGAGTAAATTGTCAGTCAATCTTAATTTTTGGGTAACTTTAATTCTATCAGTAGTAGGTCTACGCTGACTACAATTAAGTGACCAAAGAACAACAGAACAAGAAATGTTTTCATGCATCTTTAATACCTTCTCTTTGATTGCAACAAGCCACAGGCTATTAGAAAGTGAAAGTGAAAAGTGAAAATTACATCATGTGTAGCCAAGTATGGTACAGTGACCATGACAACACTGCACAAAAACTAAGATAGATCACACATTGCATCACTGTCAAGCACCTACTATAACATTCAGAGGTGTCTTTCATATCATCTTCAAATATGACTGCAAACATGATACAATTATGTGTTTAGACTTAAATTGCCAATTAACATTAGTCCTGCAAACCAAATACAGATTTGTATTGAAGGTGTTTTATCAGACATAAAGTGGAGGTAAATTAAAGACTCTCTTGAGGCGTGTCATAAGCTTTAATTTGTGTATTACTTGAAACAGAAAGTCATTTTAATCAGCTCTTCAACAATACTTCTGCCGTTTCAATGACAGTTTAAGGGGAGGAGTTTGCTTGACACATCATCTGTGACAAGGAAAGAACAGAAAGTTTAGTTGAAGAACATCTTGTGCTGAACTAGAACTTCATCCTGATTATGATCAACATGTTACTCTGCTTAACTGGTTTGATTTGTTCTCTTGTATGTAAGTATTAATTTTATTTGGCTTTTCTATAATTTTGTCTAGTTGAGATTAGTAAGTGTGGTGTTTGTGTTAGTTCATTTTTATGTACATTGCATTTCTATAAATTGAAATGTCATCACACCAGTCCAGACTGAGTTTTATAAGAAAGAGGAAGAAAATGTTACTCTGTCCTGTAGCTACTCCTCAGCATCCACACTGCAGTGGTATCGCCAGTATCCCGGATCAGCTCCTGAATTTCTTTTGATAATAATACCTTCTACAGGAAAAGTTTCACAAAAGTCAGAAATTGTGGATCGAGATCCTCGATTCTTTGGGAAAGTGAATGAAGAGAAAACCCATGTGATTCTAGAGATCTCCTCCACTAAACTGACAGATGCTGCTCTGTACTACTGCGCACTGACGCCCACAGTGACAGGAAACACAAGAACTCTGTACAAAAACCCTCCCAACAGCGATACTATAGATGAATGTATCTATTACAGATTTGCAGTGACACAATTATACATCATCTATTAAGAAATTATAATTCTGATGTGGAATTACACAGAGAGTTTTGCATTCAAAATACAGATGTACACTATTGATTAAAATGCAATGTTAATGTTGCATTCATGATTGTTAAAATGAAATGTTTTAATAAAAGTTTCACAAATTTTTTATAATATATGAAATATACTCTTTATCATTGTGTGCTAGAAGAATCCAAAAACAAAAACCTGAAAGGCTATTACAGATTTGCAGTGACACAATTATACATCATCTATTAAGAAATTATAATTCTGATGTGGAATTACACAGAGAGTTTTGCATTCAAAATACAGATGTACACTATTGATTAAAATGCAATGTTAATGTTGCATTCATGATTGTTAAAATGAAATGTTTTAAAATAGCTAGTGATTGAACATCACACTTTATTCATGCTCTTCATTCATAGTCTTCGTAAAAGTCATGTAATCCAATATAGAGTAAACCTGGGAAAATATTTCTGAAATTTCTGTTGTGATAACAAAAGTTAACAATTATCATATACTGTTTTGTTGAAGCATTTTTGCAACTTTTTGGTCTCTATTATGAATGCATCAGTTTTGTGATACATGCATATATGTTTGTCATCAGCCACAAGGGGGTGAAGTTACAACAGAAACAATACATTCAGTCTGAACTGAGTAAATGGTGTTTAACTTTCAAAGCAAGCACTCATGGTATTTTCCCTACACACAGAGTGCAGAATAATCAAAGATATAAAACACACAAAGAGACAGTAACACTGAGCTTTATAAAACAGATCAAGAGGAAATCCTGTTAACTGACAGTTATCTCAGGTTTAATGCGGAAAGACAGAAGGTGGTCTAAACATCAGAAACCACACCCACATTTACAGACATTATAGCTGCACAAATGACTTTCCATTACATTCATACATTTACCTTTAACTTAAAATCATCAAGCATATGTTGATAGGCCTAGTTTACAAGTAAATTTCTCACCATGGAGAGATATGTTCTACTGATTCTTATAACAGTACCAGGTAAAGTGCACTTGATATTAAAATAGAAAACGGACATCATATATTGCTACAAAGGAGTAATACAACTTTCATGAAATATCATTCATTCTCTTGCAGGTGTATTTGCTGACAGCATTGAACCAAAAGTCAAGGATGATATAATCAGTAAAGAAGGAGAGTCTGTGACACTGAGCTGCACTTATGATACAAGCAGCAATAATGTTATGCTTTACTGGTACAGACAGTATCTAAACAGAGAACCCCAGTTTTTATTGCGTAAAGGTGCTCGATCGTGGAGCAGCAGCGAGGATATACCAGACCGTCGGTTTCGGGCGACTACATCCCAATCATCCACTGAAATCACAATTGACAGCGTAACTCTGTCAGATTCAGCTCTCTATTATTGTGCTCTAAGAGTTGGAGCCCAGTGATACAAAATGCCTGAGAGGCTTTACAAAAACTCACACACAGAATAATTGCTTTGAACGTGTTTGAACAACTAAAAATCAAACCACAGCTGTACTTAATGTTAACCACAAAACCTCTGTGAATAACATGATACATTAACACCTGCTAAAATTTAACTGAGATAAATGAAATTAATCATAACATTTCATTCAGCAATTATTACTATGAAAAGTGACTGCTGTGCACATGCTAGTGATTCCTAACTTATTAACTCTTTGTTAATTTGGCTGACTTTGTCTGTCAAATGTATTTCTCTAGCATTAGCTCTAGCATTTTCTAGAGCTACTTTTGCATTCAAACTAAAGTGTTGTTTAAAGAATGTTTGCTTAGAAATAATATAAAAACATAAATATCACTCTTACAGCAGATTATCTGAAGAAGACAGAATTATCCATGAAGCTATATGGAGACATGCTCTGCTACAGAAAAACTGAATAATACTGTGCAAAATTACATTGCAAGCAGATTTAGGTATCTATCCATCATAATATATGTAATTTCTGTGCTTTATAAAATGGTTATGTCAAGAGGCGGAGTTTATCACAGGCCTGTGAAACAGATTAGTTCAGTGATAATCAGCATCACAGATCACTGATGCAAGCAGCAACTACCATCATGTTCACTTGTGTGCTTATACTGCTGACTTTAACTCAAGGTAAATTCTTACATGTATCATTACTTCACCATATCTCAATTTAAACCTGCTTAAATAAGCTTTTGTTGTAGGTAACAGAGCTAAAGATGTCATCACCCCATACAGTGATGCAGCATTTGCCGAGACTGAGTCTGTGAAACTCTCTTGTAACTACACTGGTTCTGTCAAGAGTCTTCACTGGTATCGGCAATATGCAGGTTCACCACCACAGTTCCTCATCCTGGATTCCTATGGATCAATTACGCAAGCTAATCCTCCAGTTTCTGGAATATCCATCAGTCACAGAAAAGAAGATAACAGTGTGGATCTGATCATCTCCTCTGCTTCAGTATCAGACTCTGCTCTGTATTACTGTGCTCTGCAGCCCACAGTGACAGGAAACACTCAACACACCATACAAGAACCTGACCGACTCTATAGTCATAAAATTAGATGTCAGAAAAACAAATAGTATCCACACAGAGGAATGTTACATTCAAATTCACATTTAACTATACATTTTCCAGCTGGCTAGCATTTCTACTGTTTAGTTTTTCAGTATGTACATGTATTGATTTAGTAATTGCTCATTACTGATTGAGATCTTTGATGGAGTATCACTATAACTATATTCTCAGATCTTTCCTCATGTATGAAAAAATATCAATAAATAAAGTCAACATTTAGCATTCTTTATATTTTTCAGATTCACATATGTTTTATCCTTGTTAGACTTGTGGATGTTGTCAATGGAAGAATAAGGGTTTGTCACACCACCACTGGGGGGTGCTGTGTACATTAAAACATTTCAGAGAGGATGCCTAACTATATCAGAAATGAATTCACATCACATGTGCCAGGAAAAACAGAAGACCGTCCCTTTGCCTTTGTAATTTGGTGAAACTGTTCTTAAATGTGTCAGACTCTGTTCCATGCTTTGTCTGTGTCTTGCTCCCATATAATATGTATTTAACGCATGCCATAGTAAAACATTATTTGAATAAATAGACATTACACTGTAAATCTGAAGCTTTTTATGCTCATCGACAAATTTTTTGAATTTTATCCCTCTTTTACCTAGGCCTATGTAGCACTGCATATTAGTATATTAATTGTATTTCAATACATATGAAGAGTTCATTTGCAAAAACAGATAACTCAATTTTTAAACATTTTCAAAAATCATTTTTTTTTTTTTTTTCTATTGTGCATTCCAATTAATCTCAATCAAACTGCAGTTGGATTATTTTGATTAAGTAAAAATAACAACAACAAAAAATACAGCTAACACAAAGCACAATAAAAACATGATAACATAATAAAAACATGATTTTTGAAAATAAAAAAAAAACCGAGTTATCTTAATTGTGCCACTAGACTGCAAATATAATGCCACAGGCACAAACTGCACTTTCAAATATTAAATATTCTAATTCCACTAAATAGCAACTATTTTTACTAGCTTTGAATGATTATACAGTAACATAATGAACATAATCAGTCACATTTGCTGATAAAATGAATTAGCGTAGTAAGAGACTTAATCAACATAAGCATAATTATTTTTTAATATACACTGATTGAAGGCACAATCTTATCTCAGCATTTAATAAGACAAGATAGAGTTGTAAATAAACCACACCAATTACAGCTGCACAATTTACAGTTTATAAAGACAGTTTGTAAAGCTTCTTAACATGGAGAGATGCGTTCTTCTGATTCTGAGTACAGAGATGAGCTTGTCAAATGTGATTGTGTAAACGAAGAGATACGATTTTTATGTATGTTGTGCAAAAAAATATTTTAGTATTTCTACTTGACAATTTTATGTTTACTGTAATTCAGTGTGTTACTGTTTTTTTTTTATTATTATTTGTTAAGTTAATGGCAGAAAATTGTTTCTACACCAATTTTTTCAGTGTACTGATTATATTCAAAATCTTTTGGTCAGACAGGGAAAATGGTTTTTACTCCGACCTCTCTTCTGGATTGTAAAAATCATCAAAATAGCCATCAGCAGCTCTGAGCATCTGAACAACAGCGTTTAGAAGCAGAATGTCTGTTTGAGAGTCTATTTCCAGTTCTTGGTAGTAGTTTTTCACTGGGACCACAACAGACAGAGAAACTCCAAGCTGAGAGCTAATCTCTTGCATCTGTCACAAAATAATTCACCAAGACAATATGTAAAACAAACTGAACATTACAGAATACTTACTACAAATTTATATACATTAATTCATACCATTTTGTTGATATAGTGGCTCTGGTAGACATTTTTCAGGTCTTCTGCCACTAAGGGGCAGGCCTCATCCACCTTAGTCAGCAGAACCAGCTGAGGAATACCTGAAGTACAAAACAACACCTTATATGCTATCACATCCCAGAGACCACTATCCTATGATGATGCAACCCTAATGATTAAAGATTCATGCTAGTTGTACACTTTAACCCCACAAGATGTGCTCTTGAGCATGGGATTTAAAGGGACAGTCCAGAACCAGCGTTCTTCAAAATATATTTTTATTGTGTGTGTTCCACAGAACACAAGAAAGTCATACAGATTTGGAACAACATGTGGGTGAGTGAATGAGGACAGAATTTTCATTTTTGGGTGAACTATCTCTTTAAACTCAGGTTGGTGGAGAGGTTGCCCCTATATATACAGTAAGTGTACTGTAGATTGAATTTCCATCATTTACATGATATAATACCCTCATGTCACTTGAAATTAATTAACTCTGTTCAAAATTGTTACACACTTAGCTGGTTGGCTTTCTTTCGAAAAACCACAAACTTCTCAATCGTTTTGTCAGAGAGAAGCTTGACTCTGCTGATGTCAATCACAAACACCACACAGTGAATCTTGTCCTTCAAGCCAGGAGACTTATGGAAATGAGGGGAGTCTGGCTGTATAGGCATCAATGGGTTAAACTGAGAAAAATTATCATATAGAATATCTTTAAAACATTTTGACGCAACAGAAAATAATGAATAAAAACATTGATAATTGATCTTCCAGACCTAACTATTAAGTTAACACTGTACCTAAAATTCTCACCTGATACTTGTCTTGAATGTGACCCTTCAAAATTGTGGCAAAATCATCTACATCCAGACCAGTGTTCACACCATCCTCCAGACCCATTGTGTCACACAAAATGAAGGGAACATGGGTAACACTGCTGCTTGGCTTTATGTAGTAGGGACGAAACTACATGGCACAAATATTTACCCATTAATTTCAATACACACTTACATAATTATAAACTTTGTATAACTAGTCTATAACTATAATACCATAACTAGTATTTTTCACACAATATTTCGCTCCGTGAGGTTTAATTAATCATGCGTACCTGAGTAGTCAAACTGGACTGGACAAGTCAGAAACATTTCTTAAAATTAGTTAATAACTTAGCTAAATAACTTAATTATTTTATAGAAGACATTGCATTTGGTTTGCTTTACTCAGAATTCCACTGCACATTTCTCCATGGTTTCTCCATGAGTCCTTCAAAATCTGGTGAAAATCCAAACCAGAGCATTCACACAACCATCACTAAAAGCCATTACTCTCTCAGCAAATATGTGACCATGGACCACAAAACCAGTCTTAAGTCGCTGGGGTATATTTGTAGCAATAGCCAAAAATACATTGCATGGGTCAAAATTATAGATTTTTATTTTATGCCAAAAATCATTAGGATAAAGATCATGTTCCATGAAGATATTTTGTAAATTTCCTACTGTAAATATATTAAAGCTTAATTTTTGATTAATAACATGCATTGCTAAGAACTTCATTGGGACAAATTTAAAGGCGATTTTCTCAATATTTAGATTTTTTTGCTCCCTCAGATTCCAGATTTTCAAATAGTTGTATCTCAGCCAAATATTGTCCTATCCTAACAAACATACATCAATGGAAAGCTTATTTATTCAGCTTTCAGATGATGTTTAAATCTCAATTTCGAAAAATTGACCATTATGACTGGTTTTGCGGTCCAGGGTCACATATGTGAAAAGTAGCACAAAATAATACAAACCTTCCACTCTGTACACCTCACATTCTGTCAGCTGTAAGTCATTTCCATGAATCTTCTGTGGATCGAATTGGTATGTTCCTGGGTTACTGTAGGCATTAGCTGTATTATTGTAAAGAAACACTAAAGAGTCGAAGTTTGGACCATTGTCAGTGAAAGCATACTGGGGATTTCCACTGACCACACGCAGAGGATCTTCCTTCATTTCTTTGTCATTAAAGCTAAAGAGAAAAGCTTTGTCATCCACAACATTTTGTCCGGTCTGTGCATAACTTTTGCTAGTGAAAGCTCCAAAAACACGTCCAGACTTATTGTAAGCTACTATAACCGTTGGCCCCTGAGTATTACATTTTTCGTGAAATGTAGTGGCATTGAATCCATGCACACTAGCTTTGAACAGCAGGCTGAGGTTGGCATTGTTGAAAAATGAGCAGAGCTCCTTCTTCTGCCATCTATTCAAGCTGGATGTCACTGTGCTCATAATGATCTGAAAAACATTCAGTCATTATATTTTTAAAGCATACTGTAATAATGAATAGAAAGTAAAGGTAATTTTTAAAAGTTTGAATATTTACTGCCTCCACTCAAATACATGTGAAAGGAATCAAGTGATTTAAATCATCACATTATATTAAGTATGCAAAAGAAATTGAATGATTTGAAGGTCAAATGTAATGATCTTGCAAAAAACATTATGAAATCAGCTCACCTTGGAACAAGACTTAAATTTGTCTGCTTTCTTTCACACGGTACCTAGAAAAAGCATACAGTACTTCCTTTTTTTACAGAAACACAACTTACATTGTGCAACACAAAAATGAAGTGTGACCTGAAGTATGTAGTGGCAAGAACAGGTTCTGCCAGGTACAGAAAAACTTGTTTTTAAAGGGCACCTATTATTTGCCCATTTATTTGACAGATTTTTCCTGTCAGTTAACTAACTAAAGTGTTGTTTAAAGAAGGCAATAAATTAACATAAATACTAAGAAAAACCCATAAATATCACTATTAAAGCAGATACTTGAATATGAAGACTGTAGCTTTAAGAGGAGGTGCTTGCTGAAGACATGCTCTGCTAGACAATGAATGAATGTTACTTCAGTAACAGTTTGTCCTGAAGATGAACTAAAACATCATCCTGAAAATTATGCTTTTCGTTTTGGCTTTGTTCTGTTGTCTTGCATGTAAGTATCCCATTTCAACCCTCTTTTTTTTCTGCTCATTTGTATGTCTTTTTTGTCAAAATGCATTTAACTGTTAATAATCTCATCTGCAGGTGTGAGTTTTGGGAATGTCATCACACCAGTCCAAACTGAGGTGTTTGGGACTGAGGGGGGCAATATAACTCTGTCCTGTAACTACTCCTCAGCGATTAGTCTGCAGTGGTATCGCCAATATCCAAACTCAGCTCCTGAATACCTTTTAGTCATAATGCATGCTACAGGGCAAGTTTCTCATAAGTCTAAACTTGTAGATCAAGAACCTCGATTCACTGGAAAACTGAATGAAAAGAAAACCCATGTGATTCTGGAGATCTCCTCTGCTAAAGTGACAGACTCTGCAATGTACTACTGTGCCCTGACGCCCACAGTGAGAGGAAAACACTACACACCATACAAAAACCTGACTGACTTGAAATGAGATGTTGCCAAAAACAACAGTATCCATACAAATGAATATGTCAATTATAGTTTCTGATGTTACATTCAAATTCATATTTAACTACACATTTTCTGGCTAGTTAGTATTTCTGTACCTTTACAGTATGTACATGCACTGGTTTAGTGAATTCTAATTATTAAATAAGACCATTTATATGAACATTAATGGCATATCTATATTCCCAGATGTGCCATCATGTTTAAAAAATATAGCAATAAATAAAGTAAAAATGTATAATCAATCATATTTTGCAGATAAACAATTTTTTAATTCGTGTTAGACTTGTGGATGTTGTCAATGGGGAATAAATTTTATACCACCACGGGAGGGTGCTGTGTACATTAAACCATTTCAGAGAGGACACCCAACTGAAAGCTAGTGGAGGCTTTGTACCAATGCAAGATAGAGCAAATGATAAATAACCAGTGGAGAAACATCACAGATGATTACGCTTAAAAATGTGAAGAAGCAGAAATCATGATCACAATTAAAATATAGTTCTTCGTGCAGCCCTACACTAGACTGCAAATATAATGGTACAGGCACAAACCTCACTATTAAATACTGAACATTCTCAATCCATTAAATAGACTCTATTTTTACTTTGAATGGCCCTTATAGTAACATCTTGATAAAACTGAATTAGTGGAGGAAGATACTTCCTCAACTATTACTCAAGTAATTTTAGTTGTAATAGTTAATTTTAAAGGGGTCATATGATGCGATTTCAAGTTTTCCTCTGTTACACCAAATACACAAAATAATGATCTTTAAAAGAGCATCATATGACCCCTTTAAGATATTTGTACAGTGAAGGCTCAATCATCTCAGCTTTTAATAAGGAAAGACAGAAAAGGTAATCTAAATAGACCACACCCACACTGCAACTTGCACAACGAGATACTACAATCATACATTCATTCCATAAATCAAGATAGTAAACCTTCCAAACATGGAGAGATGCTTTTTACTGATTCTCATAACAACACCAGGTATAAAATGTTTAATCTGAGCAGACTCAAATACATTGTACATTGAAATGTTTTGTCCATGCAAACATTTTTTAATGTTACTTTATTACAGTAACGACATCACATTTGTTGAAGAAACAGTTTTTATTATTGCAATTTTAATTTAGAAATGTGAGGAATTTTTAAATAAGCCAGCTGACCTGTTCTGAAATCTGTCCAATTCTCTTGCAGGTGTTTTGTCTGACAGCATTCAACCAAAAGACAAGGAAACTCAAATTTACAGAAAAGAAGAAGAGCGTGTAACGCTGAGCTGCTCGTATGATACAGGAGGCAGTTATGTCTATCTCTACTGGTATAGACAGTTTTCTAATAGAGAACCAGAATTTTTACTGTGGAAAGGTGCTCGATCAGGGAGCAGTTCTGAATATATACCACACACTCGTTTTCAGTCGACTACATCTCAAACATCCACTGAACTCTCTATTAAGAGTGTAACACTGTCAGATTCAGCTCTCTATTACTGTGCTCTAAAAGTAGAGGCCCAGCGATACAAAATGCCTGAGAAGCTTTACAAAAACTCACATGTAGTTTTTTCCTTTAAAAAATGAAAGAAAAAAAAAATTAAACCACAATCATATCTTGTGTAAAACCACAACACCTCTTTCATAAACACAATATTGTAACACCTGCTTGAGGAAAAGGAAATGTGTGTTTAGGGGGAAATGATACAGTAAGATGATAATTACTGGTTTTGTCATACCTACATTAATACATACATACATTAATAAATCTTCCTTCAAAAGAACCTCTGACAATATAGTCTTCCATGGAACAACTTTCAGTCAGCAGTACTGTACACTGACTAAAAGTAAGGGACCAAAATATAGAACAACAAAAGTTTACATGCATCTTTAATACCTTCTAAATGCAACAATCTACAGGCTGTTAGTGGTACTACAGTAAAACTCCTGACCTGCACGTTCATATCTGTCATATGCTATATTCAAATGCTATTTCATCTATTATAGACTGCAGATTTGAGGGGAGGAGTAAATCTGAGACCTCCTTCTGTACTTTACAAGGAATTAATGAATAATTGAACAGTTTGTTCTGAATACAACATTGTGCAAAATGATGCTCTGCTTGCAAGTTTTTCTTTTTTGTCTTGTGTGTATGTATTTCAGATTGAATATAATGAATTATTGTTATTATTATTTTTTAACTAACAACTAAAGTGTTATGATGTTTCAAGTGTTTAAGTGTTATTATTTTGTATGAATTTGATTCTTGCAGGTGGCACTTTTGAAAATGTCATTACTCCAGTCCAAAATGAGATGTTCCGTCCAGAAGGAGCAAATTTAACTCTGTCTTGCAAATACTACAGTGGTATCGCCAATATCCTGGAAAAGCTCCTCAGAATCTTTTAGTAATTCTATATTCTAGTGGGAAAGTTTCATAAAGGTCAGAAATTGTGGATCAAGATCCTCCATTCTCTGGAAAACTGAATGACAAGAAAACCCATGTGGATCTGGAGATCTCCTCTGTCAAAGTGACAGACTCTGCTCTGTACTACTGCGCCCTGGAGCCCACAGTGATAGGAAACACAACAACACTTTACACAAACTAAGATAGATCACACATTGCATCACTGTCAAGAAAGTATCAGACAATTGCATTTGAAACAGACAACTGGATTTGCAAGCCATAACATTCAGAAGTTTCTTACATATCATAAGTTGCAAAATGTGACAATAGTTATGTGTTACATGTAATTTTTGCCAAAGTACATCAGTCCTGTGAACCAAACAGTTGTGCTTGCATAGATTTGTATTGGAAGTGTAAGTGCAACTGTTTTCTGGACAAAAAAGGAGGAGGAGAATTATCCTTACAGTCCTTTATAAGTATATTAAAGAGTCTCTTATGGAGTGTCATAAGCTTTAAATCTTGATCAGCTACACCAATTCTTGACCTGTGTGTTCATGTTGACTCCACTCTATACTGCTGCTCATTCTCTGTTTTTCAGTACTATTTCAATTACAGTTTTCAGGGGAGGAGTTTGTTTGAGACATCTTTTGTGAGACAAGGGAAGAACAGAAAGTTTAGTTGAACAACAGTTTATGCTGAACAAATACACCATCCTACCCATCATCAACATGTTGCTCTGTTTAACTGGTTTGATTTGTTCTCTTATATGTAAGTATTACATTTATTTGTCTTTTCTATTATTTTGTCTAGTTGAGATTAATAAGTTTATGTTAGTTCATTTTTATGTACATTACATTTCCATGAATTATGACTCTTGATTTTGAAGGTGGCAGTTTTGCGAATGTCATCACGCCAGTCCAGACTGAGTTTTATAAGAAAGAGGAAGAAAATGTTACTCTGTCCTGTAGCTACTCCTCAGCATCCACACTGCAGTGGTATCGCCAGTATCCCGGATCAGCTCCTGAATTTCTTTAGATAATACTACATGCTACAGGAAAAGTTTCACAAAAGTCAGAAATTGTGGAGCGAGATCCTCGATTCTCTGGGGAACTGAATGAAGAGAAAACCCATGTGGCTCTGGAGATCTCCTCCGCTACAATGACAGACTCTGCGATTTACTACTGTGCCATGGTGCCCACAGTGACAGGAAACACAAGAACTCTGTACAAAAACACTCATACTGTAGTTGAATGTAGCAAACATTGAACTTCTTCAGAAAATATTTGAAAAAAACATATTTTTCAATCAGTCAATAATAAATAAATAATACAATTTTATCTGAATCATTGATAAAACTGAATCATAAGAACACTATTCAAATGCATAACTCATTGAGTACTGAAGCTTTTAGAAACTCTGCGATTTACTACTGTGCCATGGTGCCCACAGTGACAGGAAACACAAGAACTCTGTACAAAAACACTCATACTGTAGTTGAATGTAGCAAACATTGAACTTCTTCATAAAATATTTGAAAAAAACATATTTTTCAATCAGTCAATAATAAATAAATAATACAATTTTATCTGAATAATTGATAAAACTGAATCATAAGAACACTATTCAAATGCATAACTCATCGAGTACTGAAGCTTTTAGAAATAGTTAC